TCGTCCCGCCCGACCGGTGGCATCGTGGGCAGGACACGCAGCCCCGGGCAGCCCCTGGCGCGCTCTGCTTGTGTTCCTTAAAACTGTGCCCCAGACGAGTAATACAGAGGGAAGAATCGTTGTCAAGAAAGATTTTTTTCTTCTTCAAATAACAGCTTTATTGAGCTGTTCTTCACATACTGTAAAACCCACCCATGTAACGTGTACACTTCAGTGGGTTTTTTTTAAAAAAAAGTATATCGACAGCGGTGCAGCCGTTTCTATGCCAGGACATGTGTGTCGCTTCAAAACGAAATTCCGTGCCCACTGGCTGTCGCTCCGTCCCTCTGCCCGGCAGCTGTGAGCTTACTTTCTGTCTCTGTGGATTTGCATATTTTGGGCATTTCGTGGCATCAGCGGGATCATAGAATGTGTGGCCTTTAGCGACTGGTTTCTGTCACGATAGTTTTCCAGGTCCGCCCATGTCGTGCCAGGGTCAGTCCCTTTGTGTGGCTGAGTAATATTGTGCTGTGGGGACAGACCTCATTTTGTGTGTCCGTCATCCAATGGACACTGGTGGTGTTCCCACTTTTTGGCCGTTAGGAGTAGTCCTGCTATGAACATTTGTGTACAAGTTTTTAGGTGGACATAGGTGGTCAGATCTCTTTGCTACAAACCTAGGAGTAGAATTGCTGTTTATATATGGTAACTATGTTTAGCTTTGTGAGGCACTCTCAGGTTGAAGAATTATATTTTTGGTGTTTTATTGTTTGTATCCGATGAGTCTCGGACACCAAAACCGGCTCATCGCCAGGCCCGATTTCATCAGATTCTCCCTTGAAGACACCAGTAGCAAAGCCTGGGCTCTGGAGCAAGGCTTGCAAGTTAGGAGACGCCAGCAGGTGACGAGCCTGGGGCTCTGCAAGATGGAAGATAGGAATGCTTGTTTCTTAGGATTGTTGTGAAGTCTAAGTGTATGTTGTAAGGAGCCCAGAGCCATTCCATTTCCCACTTTACAGGAGATGAATTTCCTCCTGTGTCAGTTGCATATTTTGAATCTGGGGCAGACAGTGAACAGGGAATGTGCTTAATGCTGAGCTGCTTCAGGGAGATCCCTGCTTGAGGTTGGAAGGTTTACTGAGCTCGGGTTTGATTGCAGGTATGCTTTTCTGTGCCTTGTTAGAACTAAAAGGGACCCAGGGGGTCCCTGAGTCCAGGGTGACCTCCTCATTTAGATTTCATAGGTTGGTAAATTCCAAGAAGCCGGAGGATCAATATCAGGGTTGTCCATTTTTATTTTTTGCCCAGGTAGGACAATGGAAAAACAACCACCATCCACTCCCACCGTGACTTTATAAAAGCAAGAACGTTTCAACAGCAAAAAATGACGTTCATAACCTAAACATAAATAACAATACTAGTTAATATTTATAAAGCAGTTTACTCAATTTACTTCAGTTTGGTTTTATGGAAAGCTCATACATTATTCTTACTTTTCTCATTTACTTCAGACTAGAGAAATTGGACACCTCCTGTCATCAAAGCTGTGTCCAGGACCCACTGTCCACCTGCCTCCAGGCAGCTCTGCATCTCTAAAACGCGGCCTTTTGTGTGCCTTGATTGTTTCGCTCACAAAAGAAAGGTTCATCAGGAGCGGCATAAGCCATCGATAGGTGAGAAGGGCTGAGGCTGGGCTCTGCAACTCGCTAAGCAGCTGAACACTAGGCTGTAAGCCCCTTGAGGTTGGACCTTCTTCCTTTTTAAACTCTAAACATTTTGAAATACATACTTCATCTAAAGTGCATGTCATGTTTAGGAACAGTTTAAAGAACTGGCCCCCAGCTTAAGAAATAGACCCTCACTCTCACCTCTGAAGCCTGCTGTCCCCTCTCAAACTGCATTCCTCTTTGCCACCCAGGTAACCACTTTCCAAATATTTTTTCTTTATAATTTTACCATATGTGTAAATATCCCTAAACAGTATACTGTTTAGAGTTGCTCGTTTTGAACCTTATATAAATGGGATTGCACTGCTTGTATTAATCCACAGCTTGCTCCTCACGTTTTTGAGACTCACCCACGCTCCTGCCGTCCAGCCGGAGGTCATCATGTTCACTGTCCTGTAGCACTCATTCCTTTGTGTTAAAAGACCACAGTCTATCCACTCTCCTGACGGCAGACACGTGTGTTGTCTCTATTTCTTGCTTCTATAAACTTTCGTTTATACCTCCAGCTGTTCACGTGCCAGACTTCCTCTAGGAAAGACATTGCCAGGCCTAGCATGCACCAGTCTACACACCTACCTGTTGTAGAGGAGTTACCTTCGACCTGCATCTTGCAAACGCTTGGTGTTTTTCATACTAAAATGTTTTGTCTGTACGCCCACGTGCATAGTAGCATTATTCACAGTAGCCCAAAGCTAGAAACAACCCAAGTGACTTTCAATGAAAGAGTAAATAAAATGTGGTCTACACATACAATGGAATATCATTCAGCATTAAACCAGAAGGGGATTCTGACACCTGCTACCACAGGGATGACCCTTGAGGACATTATACTAAGTGAGCTACTGCAATCACAAAAGGACAAAATCCGTTTAGATGAGGTCCCTAAAGCAGTCAAATTCATGGAGACGGGCTGGGGGAGGGAGGGTTAGTGTTTAATGGGGACAGAGTTTTAGATGGGGACGATGAGAAAGTTGTGAAGATGGTCACACAACGGTGTGAATGTACTTAATGCCACAGAACTGTATACTTAACAGTGTACAGTTTTTTATGTATAGTTTTTTGTATATTTTACCAGAATGAAAATATTTTTTTGGTCAATCTGGTGGGTATGCAGCAGTCTATTTCGATAGTGTACTGTGGTTTTAATCTACTATTTCCTGATTGCTCTTGAAGTGGGACATCTTTCTGTATGTGTCTTGGCTACTTGCATTTCCTCTTCAAAGATGCCCATTGGAGCATTTTGCCCATATTCTGCCTAAGTGAGGCATCTTTTTCTTACTCGTGGATGACCCACTGTCCTGGTGCCATTAATTGGAGAGTCTGTCCTTTCCAACTGCCCTACCATGGCACCTCTGCCATATTTCAAATTACCGTGTGTGTGTGTGTCTCGTTCTGGGCTTGATTACATTCCATTTTTCTCTCTATTCCTGTATCAGTACTGTGCCGACTGTAGCTTTTTATCACTCCCCCCAATTTATTGAAATATAATTCACATGCCATATAGTTCATCCATTTAAACATAAAATGTAGTGGTTTTAGTGTATTCACAGAGCTGTGCAGCCATCATCACAATCAATTTTAGAACATTTCATCACCCCAAAAAGAAACTGTACCCCATTAGCTGTTCTGTCTGGTTTTGCTCTCTGGTCGGACAAGTGCCCTCTGCAGTGGTGGTTCTTCAGGAGTTTCTAGGCTGTTCTTGACCACAAATTAACATGTTGTATTCCATGAAAAATCTGGTATGAATTCTAATCAATTGCATTGAATCTACAATATATATCAAATTGGGTAGAATTAGCATCTTTTTTTTTTAAGATTTTATTGGGGAATTGGGGGAATGGGAACAGACTACTTGCTGTCGTTTTGTTCTTTAGTCTAGTTGTGGAGGACGTTGCTTCACTGGCCCAAGTTGGCACCATCATTGCGCTCTTCCCGGGCGAGGCAGATCAGTCGCTGGCTTCTGGAAGGCTGTTCACTGCGGCTGCTGGCTGCTCACGCTGGCTGCTGGCTACACACGGTAGCCCATGGCAACCCACTGCCACAGGGGCTGCAGCCTATGCCGTTGCCGGCGACTCACAGCAGCCCAGCTCCAGGTTGAGCTGTTGTTCAGCATCTTAGCTGTAGAGGGCAGTGTCACTGTCCCTCCTATGTGGGATCCGAACTGGGGCCCTCTGGCATCCCAAGCCAGTTCTTAACCAACGCGCCACTCGGCTGGCCCAGAGAATTAGCATCTTTATAATGTTAACTTTCTCTGCTCTTGAACATATCTGGGATCTTGTCTTTCCATCTATACAGGGCCTCACCAAATGTCAGGTATGCGATTGATGAGATTTTATACATCATTAATTTTAACTGTTGCCTTTTATGAAAGAGAAAAGTAAACCTCAGGGAAGCTGTGTCTCACCTACGGTCACAAAGAGTGACAGCCAGGACTAGAGCCATCTCGCTGGACTTGGTGCTTACAGCCACAGCTCTCTGCCACCCAGTGCCAATGCGATCGCAGCAAGCATCACTTGCCAATAATGTATGCTGGTTTGCTGCTTTCCTTTCATTGATGCGCTCTTACCTGTAGGCGTCTTTTCTCTGGTGGGCCTGGGTGTGATTTGTCCACACGTGTGCACAAGTGAATGAAGGTCTGTATGTGGGAGAGCGCCGAGCCTGGCATACGAACAGTTAGTGCCTGGCACAGAGTGCCCACTGAGTACACACTTGAATAGGGAAAAACAATAGTAAACGTTGAATTTCCATTAGGATTCACAATTCGCAATTTCTATAACCTGTTAGACCTTGATGTAGCCCACCTTAATTTTGGGTGCAAACATACTGAATAACATGAGGAAACGTCACTGCACAGTATTGTAGAGGGAGGGCTTTGGATAATTTCTCTCTCTCTTTTCTAACCCTTGTTCCTTTGGGCCTTTTCATTATATTCTGCTGAGGGGGGAGGAAGCAGTGCATTCATTGGTTCCTTCCTTCATTCAGCAAACACTTTTGAGCACGGACTCTGCCCAGCTAGTCCCTGGCAAGGTGTTGGAAGTATCTAGAAATAAGAGACAGCCCCTTTTCTGCAGAAGCCCAGCGCCCAGCCCAGGAGGGGTGGCGCTGGGATAAGAGCAGTGGTAGGAGCCATCTGCAGCATCTGGGACAGACTGTATCCTGCAGCTTCCCGTGGGGCTTCCCCTGCCTTCCAGGGGTCACCATCAGGGGCCCTGCGCCCCCCACCCACACCCCCCCTCCGAACAGGCCAGCAGCACTCTCTGCCTGCCTCAGTGTCTCCTTTTGTCTCTTCCGCAGGGACTGGACCATGAGCGTCCCCGACTACATGCAGTGCGCCGAGGACCACCAGACACTCCTCGTGGTGGTCCAGCCCGTGGGCGTCGTCTCGGAAGAGAACTTCTTCCGGATCTACAAGCGGATCTCCTCCGTGAGCCAGATCAGCATGCGCGACTCCCAGCGCGTGCTGTACATCCGCTACCGGCACCACTACCCGCCCGAGAACAACGAGTGGGGCGACTTCCAGACCCACCGCAAAGTCGTGGGCCTCGTCACCATCACGGACTGCTGCTCGGCCAAGGAGTGGCCGCAGACCTTCGAGAAGTTCCACGTGCAGAAGGAGCTGTACGGCGCCACGCTCTACGACTCCCGGCTCTTCGTCTTTGGGCTGCAGGGGGAGATCGCGGAGCAGCCGCGCACGGACGTGGCCTTCTACCCCAGCTACGAGGACTGCCAGACCGTGGAGAAGCGGGTCGAGGACTTCATCGAGTCGCTCTTCATCGTGCTGGAGTCCAAGCGTCTGGACAGGGCCACAGACAAGTCCGGGGATAAGATCCCCCTGCTCTGTGTCCCGTTTGAGAAGAAGGACTTTGTGGGACTGGACACCGATAGTAGGTAAGTTGACCTAGAGGCCTGGGTTCCTTGGCTTCGTGCTTGGGTTGCTTCCTGGCTTCCAGAAGCGATGAGAAGGGTGGAGTTTCACAGCAGCAAAGCGGGTAGAAAGGTAAAAACAGGACAGCCTTTGTGTAAGGGAAATCCTGTAAGGGTTAGTGTGTGCGCTCACCCCGCCTGCTGGGCCCCTCCTCCCCTCCCCCAGCTGCTTGTCCAGTGCGGTGGGTCGCTGCAGCCACTTGGGGTCTTTGGGCACCAGGGGAGGCTCGTCTGAGCTGCGATGTGCTCCAAGTGAAACACACGTCAGATCTGGAGGCATCAGAAAAAAGAATGTGAGATATCCCGTCAGGATTTTTTATATTGATTACATGTCCAAATGATAGTGTTTGATGTATATTAGGTTAGAGAAAGTATATTATTATAATAGTTTCCAGTGTTTAGTTTTTACTTTTTCAAACATGGCAGTTAGACAACTAATTGACGTACGCGGCTCACCTCTTATTCCTATTGGACAGTGCTGCCCTAGAGCACAGTTTGCATCCCGTATTCACTCTTGCCCTTGGATGTATAGACTAGAGGCTGAATCTGGAGAGGCTACAGATCTAGGTGCTTGCTGAGCTGAAAGGGGAGCCCACATCCCCTGCCCTCCAGGCCGGGCACTCCCTGTGCACGGGTGGCCCTGTCTTTCGACCTGGTAGCCACTATGTCAGAAGGTGTCAGCCAGGACGAGTGTCAGGGCATCAGAAACACTACCAGGGGCTTTCTAGGTAGTGTTTCTAGGGCACTGCAGGAGTGTGGCCCGAGCAGAAAGAGGCCAGCCTCCTGCGATCATGTTGACGGCTTTACGGTACACCTGAGTTGCAGGTAGCGCTCCTGGGCTGTGTGTGTCTCTGTCCGCCCTCTGCTCAGGCTCTCCTGTTGCCGTTGTGGCATCTGTCCAGCAGCAGAGGACGAGATGCAAGCTTAGGCTGTGACTGTGTGCCCAGAGGTGTCCCCTTTGGCTAGGGAGCGCACAGGGTGGCTGTGTCACTGTGGCTTCATGCCTTGGGCACTCCGAGTCTCTCCTGCCCGCCCTGTAGACTTCGGGTGATGGCCTCACAGGTGAGGATTAATGACATAATGTGCATGCTGACCCTGCGCCCACTGCAAAGGTGGGGCTCCGTGTGTTTCTTGAACTGCCCAAAGTCAAACACTGCCTTCCTGGTTGTGGGTAAGTTGGCGGAGAAAATGCCTAGGGACTGAGAGAACATTGGTCCAGGCCAGCCCTGCGAGCGAGAAGCCCGGAGTAGCCCGTCACACCTGCATGGGGTGCCCTGCAGGGTCCCAAGTAGTTTTCATTTCCTCACTCAGACATGTTTAGGTGGCCCGAGGGAAGGACAGGCATGTCATACCCACGACGTGTACTTAATCCTCGCAGTGGCCCTGTGAGCACATGCCAGCGCGCCCTTTCTCTCCTTGGAGCTGAGCTGGCAAAGTTCAGGAGCCTGGGCAGCGGCTGAGGGCAGAGCTGCTGGGCCCCCTGGGCTGTCAGGCAGGTCATCCCTGATCGCGTGGGACTGCACAGCGTACTCAGCCCCTGAAGTCCCCAAGTCACAGCATCCTGCAGCTGGGCAGGGCCTGGCTTCTCCCCACCGCACAGACCGGTGGATGAGCTAGTGCCTGCCGCCTCAGAGCAGCTTGGGCAGGCAGCCCTGCTCTGACCCCGGTCCATTGCCACCTCCTCCTTGGCTACACGAAGCACCGGTGACATATTTTGGTTTTAGGGCCGCAGACCCACCACACCAGAGAAGGCCAGCTTGATTTTGCCTTTTGAAATCTGTGCTCACAATTCTGTGGGAGCAGCGACACTGTTTTGGGCCACCTGCCTGGTATCTAGGGGCTGATGGTAACCAGGGTTTACGGAGCGTCTCCATGTGCCAGGCACGGCTGTGGGCCTCGGTAACACAGCTGCGCATTGTCCCTGCCTCCTGGCGGCGGCCCCCGTCGGTTCTAACCGCACTCTCAACACTCAGCCATCACTCGAACTTCAGCAAGATAACGGTGACCCCAGACCAAACACTGCCCTCTAATCACTGTTAGTCCACGTGGCCTTCACTACTCCACAGTTCCCTAATTTTTGCAGCCATGATTTGGGGCAGGAACCAAACCCAACTCTCACCTGCAGCTCTTGGGGGGAGTGATACCAAGTGTCCAACGTGAGATGAGATCGTGTTTTGTAGCCCAGAAGGAAGTGTGTAGACGCAGGTGTGGGCTTTGCTTTGACGCCCTGACCGCCCTGCTAGGTGCCCCTGGCAGGCACCGCTGAGTTCAGGCCCACGCTTCTCGGGAGCATCAGGTGTGGGTGGGTTTTGCTCAAACGACACGTGTGTCCCCAGCCTCATCAAAGCCCCTGGGAAATTCTCATACATGGAATGTCGTAGCTGTCAAAGTTATTTTTGTTCTTGTGTGTTTCTAATTTTCGCTTGTTCCTCTTTCTTTTCTTTTCTTTTTTTTTCTATCATACCGCCCTGTGAGTATGTTGTTGGGTCTGAAAAGGTAGGCTGTGAACGGACTGCTCTGACAATAGCTAGACCTCCCTGTGCTGCCTTCTCATCACCTCCATCGCTTGACAAACAAAAACTTCCTGCTGCCTTGATCATGTGTTCTCCTGGTCGTCCTTTTATTTCTAATTTTTTTTTTTTTTAATTTAAGCTTTCTTAGCACGTAACCCACCGGTGTTTGAGATCTATTAAAACACTTGCTTTGGGGAACTTGTTTGGTCTTACTGAGTATTTGAGCCCTTATTAATTTTTTTTAAAAAATTTGTTTTGAGGGAGTGAGATGCTAACTGATTTCGGCGGCTGCAGAGGGATAGTTTATGGGCTGTTTTAACTCGGAAAGTCGAAGACTGCAGCGCCTTGCTTGATTCCGGCTTTTAAATGAGCGCACTGGGCACGTGATTCTTGGCTGCTGCTGGGCGATGTGCATGACGGGGCTTCTTGACCGGCTGTCACCGGCAGAAGTGTGCCCGGCATGTGGCGTGCTGGACGCGGAGGGACGCTGTTGGAAGAAGCAACTGCCAGAGTTTCTTTCGCTTTCACCTTGAGCATGCTGTGGACTGTACTTCACCTTAGCCATTTTCCTTCATAAAGGCGGCAGAGGCTACCCTAAGAAAGATACCAGTCTGGTGCCCCCTTTATGAGGGCGGCTTTTCTTTCTTTTTTTTGGCTGAGCCATCCTGCCACCTGTTGGCAGCTCAGCGACAGCTCAGCTCGGGCCGGGACTCGAACCGCTGTTGCTCAGAGTTCAAACTCTTGAGCGAGCTCTTAACCAACTGAGCCACTCGGCTGGCCCGAGGGAGGCTTTTCTAAGAAGTCTCAGGAAAATACGGCCTTCTTCTAAATAGCTAGTTCGTTTGGATCTTGTGGACATGAGGACTGTTGTAATGGGCCAGAGTGTCCCCTGTGCTTTAGCCAATATGCGTTCAGAGCCAGGTCTGCGGTTCACCGTTAGCAACCGTACAGGCTCTTGTCTGAACCAGCCTTTACTTTGAACCCTGTGTTGGCAAGAAATAGCTGTTTCTGTATTTGTTGAGGCTACTGTCCGTCACTGAGGGGCATGTTGTGACTTTACAGTAAGGAAACTCCAACACGCAGGGTCAGCCCTGAGGGGAGACTCTTCGGTGGCCTGAGACCTTGTAACCTCCCCCTGGGCCATCTCACCTGTCCGGAAGGTTAGCCACCACCATGCTGGCCAGGAGGCCTTGGTCCAAATGAGAAAGGCCGGCCAGTTCCTGCTGGGGTCACATCCCAGGGTCCATGTTGGACGTGGTTTTAGATGCCTAGTCAACATTCAAGTGACAATTTCAGGGAGGCCATTGGCTTCAGGGGCCTGGCGCTCAGGTGGAGGAGTTGGGCGAGCGGTGTACATGGGGAGTTGTCAGCGTTCGGCTTGTATTTAAACCATGACCGTGGGTGGGCTCATCTAGAGAGGTGTGGATGGAGACGGAGGGCGCTCTGGGCCGTGACCGAGGCGTGGGACGGAAGCCCGGGTCGTGGAGGTTTCTGTCCATTCAAGCAGTTTGGGATTTGAGGAGCGGCTGCCATGTGTCCTAAAGGTGCTGGGGGCGGGGCAGCTACTAAAGGAACCTGAGGGGACTGACAGGCCCCAGGGCATCTCAGGAAGGTGGCTCTGGTGGCAGGCAGAGCGCAGGAGGGGCGCCTTCTCAGGAGCCGGAGTTGGTGGGAGTGGGGAGAAGACAGGGTCACGCTCACCTGTGACGGAGGGACACAGGCCCGAGGAGGGTGGGAGTCCCAGCTGAGTGGACTCAGAGGCAGATCGGATCGGGGATTGGGAGGGGAGCGGACATGTGGGATTGTTGGCTAGTTCCAGAATAGTCATTGCCCCCAAAAAATAGACTTAAAAAAGAAAACAAGCCTGTTAAGAATGTTGATAGTTACTGTGGAAGAAGCAGTTCCTTTTGGGTCCTTTTAAGTGTAAGGCATTCTGTTGGGAGATTCAGAGATGCCTAAGACAGACTGTCACAGGGGCTTGATACTTATTAGGGGGAATGATTCAAGTTTAAGGGGGGAGGGGGACGAGCGTGACCGTGTCAGGTGCCTGTCAGCTGCCCCACCTGCATATTTCATTCAGTCACAGATGCTCATAACCCTGGGATGACCTGGTCTTGGGCAGTGAAGTCCCTTACTGCGTGTCAATCTATGACAGAATTTTGTTTGTGTGGTATTTTGGCGATTTCCTCCAAAGGGTTTTTACATAATTTAAACTATCGCATAGTTCTGTTGAATCCCATGACCTTAATATGAGCAGCTATCAGCGTATGTAGACGACTCCTTTTTGCCAAAATCCTGTGTTTTCCAAACAAGCAGCTTCTGATCACAATGATGGCACTTTTGCTTTTGAAAATGTTCTGGGCTCCATTTGCCCAGCAGAAGGGCACCTTTGTTCTGTCCCCGTGAAGACGGAGTAATTTTCATTTTGGGAAGAGTTCAGGCAGGATGCTTTAAAGCACATTTCAGTCTAACAGGTTGGAAGTCAAGTCTGTTCAAGTCTGCTGAGTGAGTATAATGGTAGTGCTTGTAACCTTAGCTGCGGATTAAAAGCCGACGGTTACGTTACTGGGGAAGGAAAGGTGATTTTGGATACTAAATTCTTTTCCTGGTGAGGGCAGGAGGGCACAGCAAGGACGTGAGCCATGCAGGCACTGCACATGCCCGAAGGGAGAGGCTTTGGAACGGCGCTACTGGGGGGGGGGGCGGAGTGGCCCACTGTTTCTCACGAGTACAGGGAGTTCGTATTATTCTACCCCATGGTTCAACATCAGGTGAAGATAAGAGTCCCTACACAGCACGTTAGGTTGACATCAGAGTGACAAACTTGCATAGCTGTGAAGTGGGCCTTTGTTCTCTACCACGTCCAGGGGCATGTGACACATTATGTAGCCGTCTTGACTGTGGACGTGGGCTGTGATTTTGCCTGTTACTCCTCCCTTCTCTCTTCTCATCTTTTTGCCTCCCCCCGAATGCCCTCAGAGAGGTCACGGTCTTGATGGAGGGATGGGCAGACGCCCAGGTAGTAACTAGGCCGTCCTGTCCTGGAGATCAGCCCAGCCGAGCGCTAAGGACACTGTCAGGGGAGTTTTCCTGGAGGAAGAGGGCTCAGCATTTCACTTCAGCATGAAAATCAGAGAGGTGAAGGGGCGACAAGGGTGGCTTAGGTGGCAGGAACAGCTTAGGTAGAAGCCTGGAGGCTCATGGGGCCAGGGCTTGGGGAGAGCACCCTGTGCTGAAAAGCTCTGAGGGTCTCTGCCCCAGCATTCAGGGTGGGAGGGTGCTCCCCTGGGGAGGGCGCTGGAGAAGGCCTGGTCATGGAGGGCTTTTGAGGGGCTCGTCTTTATTAAAACTGACAACAGAGGGAGCAGCGAAGGGTGCCTGCAGGGGGGGACCCACAGAAAGTTACTCCTGGCTTTGCCGCTGCTGACAGTCTGCAGAGGAAAGGGGCTGGGATGGGCAGGAGCAGCCTGTGTGCCTTGGAGACCGTCATTCGTTTACTTCTGAGTGTCCCGAGGGGAGGGGTGGGAGCACGACAGTGAGCAGATAGTGAGCAAAACGTGCTCGCCTCTTTGGAGCTAACAGGTCAGAAGTGGATTCAGCACAGAGCATTCTAGGTACACAGCAGGGACACCTAACCCACAGTGCGGAGGTTGGAGGCAGGGCAGGCTTCCTTGAAAAGTGAAAGACCGAGCCCTCAGGAGAGTGGGAAGTGCTGAGGCAGAAGTCCAGGTAGAGCCTGAGGTCCGTGGGAGGCCGGAATCAGTCAGGCTGTGGCGTGCAGGGGGCAGTGGGACGGGGCTAGAGCTGTACTGGGGAACCTGCGGAGATTTGGAGCCGGGGCGTGCAAGTCAGGTGTGTGTTTAGGGAAGACCGCTGTGTGTGTGTGTGTGTGTGTGTGTGTGTGTGTGTGTGTGTGGTGGGTGGGGCAGGGGCCCAGCGGAGGTGTCAGAAGGTTATTAGAAGGCTGGTGAGGTGACCAGCGAGGGAGACAGATGATGGGTGTCACTTGGGGATGGCAGCCGCAGCACAGATGCAGTTTTTTCTTATGGGGAGGGCTTGCTAGCAGGGCCGTGATTACACTGCCTGAGGCCAGGAGGAGAAGGAACGGGGGCTGGCGTTTCCTTTTTTCTCCCTCTCTGCCTTATGGGATGATGTTAGTTCAACCAATATCTGGAACAGAAAAGCGAAATTCCAGGGTAGCCAAGGAGTGTGTGGAGCTTGTGAGAGTTTGGTCTTATGGCATTTAACTTCGTACTGTCAGTAACATTCATGGAGCTAGAAACGTCACACCTTTTGGATTTACAGGGGTGTTTATTTTTGATAAGATTGCTTTCATGGTCAAAGAAATTTTAATACAGCTGCTATTTTTTTCTTGAAAATAAAAAAACCTCCTAAGAAATTGAAGAGTCGAAAGACTAGGAAGATTTAAAAATGAAACAGGAAGATGTTGGTATAGTGTCTTTGGTGTCTGAGTTGATGCAGACGTAGAAGCCTTTGCATTATTTATCTGAACGTCCTTGCCAATCAATGGAAAGAGCTGTTAGTGAGTGCCCTGGCTGCCCTCTCAAAACCAACGCTCACTCTGAAATAGTGAAGCTAAAGCCAAATGCTTGGCTTGTAATATGCAGCGTAGTTCTCTTTGTAAAATAATAGATTTGAAGTTCAGAAAGTGGAAGAGAATGGAGTTTTTAAAAAGCTGAAATGAACTTTCTCGTGCTAAGGTTGTGATTGGAAAATCTGAAAAGAGAAACCCTCCTCTAATATTGCCTTAGTGAAATGCGTGGTAGAAGTTATGTCCACCGTTGAAAACGTAACTGTGTTTGAAGTCAGGACCCTCCCAACTCAGTACTGGCGATGATGGCTGCTGGCTTTCAATTGCAGAGCCTCCAGCCGCCCTCTTAGCGTGTTTTTTTTTTTTTTGGGCAGGGGTAGCGAGAGTTGCCTAGCGCTTTGCCAGGATGCTTTCGGGATGGATGTGGTACATTAGTGGTGATCCCTCTCTGTGTATTTTATGTTGCAGACACTACAAGAAGCGGTGCCAGGGGCGCATGCGCAAGCACGTGGGGGACCTGTGCCTGCAGGCGGGTATGCTGCAGGATTCGCTGGTGCATTACCACATGTCTGTGGAGCTCCTGCGCTCCGTGAATGACTTCCTGTGGCTGGGAGGTAAGGCTGTCCGATGGAGACGATCAGACGTGTAATTATAGCAACTGTTATGTGAACTAAGAGAAAAGCATCGAAAACAGCCCTGCACACAAAGGCCTAGGACGGCCCGTGGCCTCGCTTGAGGTTCCTTGGCTGTAACTGCCATTGATCGCTGACCATGATGCACTCCAAGGAAAAGTAGCTGCGTTTGAGAGGAGACGAGGCCACAGGTGTCTGCTGCCGACGCGAGAGAGCCATTAGGGCGTCTGATGTGGAAAAGGTCCCGCTGTGGTGGGAGTACTGTTAAATATTTTCAACTCGGGGTGTTTTCTGCCATATGTCTCGGCGGTGTCAGAACCTGGGGCAGAGCCTGCTACACACACAGTGCACATGAAACTGTTGGTTAAATGCGTGAATGAGTGCATGGCGGAGGGGCCTGGCCTGTTTCACAGGGGGATGCAGTCCCTCCCGGAAACCTTGAGCATCGTGAACGTTTTCTGTGTGACCAGCCTTGACACGGGCACGTGAACGATAACAGGTGGCACATGCCTGTTTGTAAGTGATCTGCAGGCTGGATCTTTGTTTGGGGAATATTGGCATTTCCACTTAAAGTGTTGGAATCATTCTTAGGCGCTGAAATTCGATGGACCGCTGACTTGACTCATTGTCTTTTATTTTTAATGCCCAGCTGCCCTTGAAGGGCTGTGTTCGGCGTCTGTCATCTATCACTATCCTGGTGGAACCGGCGGTAAGATGGGAGCGCGCAGGTTCCCGGGGAGCTCACTTGCTGCTGAAGCAGCCAACAGACACCGACCAGGTGAGCGCTGCTCTTCCCTTGGCCTGGGCTCAGTCACAGCCCTTAAGCAGGAGTGATTGATCACCTCTCCCTTGGAGTCCAGCCTGACTAATGGTTAAAGAAAGTAGAAAGTCTCTTGAGCCAGAAATGTGTGCAAGAGACATTTTCTTCTGATTTTATTGACTATTTGTGGATCTTATTGATTACTGTTAATGAGGACAGTGACTGGTTGGAACACTTGCACAGAACTTCACGGTGGATTGACCTTGCAGTTCTGTGTCCGGGTCTTCTCATAATTCCTGTATGTTGGGTGAAGCTAGTCCCAGAGGTCCGCTCTACCAGCTAATTCAGGGCCTGGGGGCTGGCTCTTATCCCCCCTGGTGATGAAGTTCTCTTACTGAGTTAAGTCTGATTTGTGTTTGTTAGCACCAATGAAGCGTAAAAAGCCCGGAGAAGCGCACACACATACACACACATGCTTGTTGAATGACCTTGACCCTTTTGACCCTTAATGAATGAACTTGCCTTTAGTAGTTCAGGATATGATCGTCATATTGCCTAGGTCACAAAGATAATAAGAAAGAATGCCGTGATCAGGGCTAGACACAAAACTGCTAGGTGTTTTCTGTTCCATGAGATTTTTAGACATTTGACCTCCCAAAGAGAAAGCCCACGGTAGTTAATGTGTGTTGGATGGGGAAATGCCTTGCAATCTTTTCTTCCCTGGATTATATATCATCCCCCATCATCAGCAAAGAGTGCAGAGACCACCTTTATGGACCAGTTATGAAGCTGCACTGTCTGAACCTGGGTGCACGCTTTGTAGAATGACTTAGATGAATCTATATGGTTCTTTTTTTTTTTTTTTTTAAAGATTTTATTGGGTAATTGGGGGAGGGGAACAGACAAGTTGCTGTCCTTTTGTTCTTCAGTCTAGTTGTGGAGGACGTCGCTTCACTGGCCCATGTTGGTATTATCATTGCGCTTTTTCCGGGTGAGGCAGTCGCTCGCCGGCCATTGGACGGCCACTCACGGTGGCTTACCTTACCGCAGCTCATGCTGGCTGCAGCTGCTCACGCAGGCTGCCAGCCACGCATGGTAGCTCACAGCAGCCCATTGCAGCAGGGGTTGCAGCCTGCACCGTCGCCGGTGACTCACGGCAGCCCAGCTCCAGGTTGAGCTGTTCACCATCTTAGCTGTAGAGGGCATAGCGTCACTGGCCCTCATGTGGCATCCGAACTGGGGCCCTGCTGCTCAGAGCTGGCACACCCAAGCCAACTCTTAACCAATGCGCCGCTCGGTCGGCCCGAATCTATATGGTCCTTGAAGACGTTTTATCATTCTTCAGCAGAGCCGTTCCTGATGATGTTAGGGGTATGTCAGCTACTCCAGAGGAAGGCAAAGCAGGCTGTGAAGGGACGAGCTCTGAGTTTCGAATACATATCTCTGCTCCTCCCTTTCCTGTGCTTTGATTCTGACTGTCAGTGTCCCCACCTGTATTTATTCCTTGTTCTAATTACTATCCCTAGTATGAGATCACAGCATTTGAAGCCCTACTGTCTTCTCTGTGCAGCTACCAAGTGCTATGATCTCTAACACACTCAGGAAGGCGAAAGCCGGTTTTATTTTCTCTTTAGGAGAAAGTCTTCTGCACTCTCTCTGGGAGTGCCGAAGGTTGGAGGGTGGTGGTTTCTGCCTCCACTGTGATTTGAAGAATTATAATGTGTCAAGATTGTTCTACTGGTGTGTGATGGGTGAGGCTCTAGAGACTTTTTAGAACGATGTTTCATTTTTTTACCCCTTGCTGAATATAGGCAAAAACAGTTTTCAGTTGTTTTGAAAAACTGCCCTGTCTGCAGTAGAGAAATGTCTTTATTTAGCTTTGCAAAAAGAACTTGGGAACTTTTTACTATTGAAGGCAGTCTATGGGGGAAATAGCCAGCAAAGCGCAGATGGGAACCGGAAGAGCTGTGCTTATTCATCTAGCAGCGATTTCACTGCCCTTTGAGCAGTAAAAGGTCCAGATCCATTGCCAGCCTGGATATCAGGAGCAGATATGTTGCTTGGTCTTGGATGTTAATCTCAAGATTAGTCAGTCTGTAGTGGCAGCCTCACCTTGAGCACCAGGAATTGATGGCGTCTGCGGTCTGAGGTGAGGATTGGGCAAACTGATTATTTCGCATTCCCCTGGATTTGTATCTCAGGTTCCTTTACCAGCAGCAAAGCTGCAGAAATTCAGACGTCATTTAATACCAAGGTGACCTGGAGCAGTGTCTCTGTGCCTCAATTTCCTTATCTGTAAAATGGGGATGATAGTAATAGTTTCTGTCTCATAGAGTTCTTGTGAAGGTTGAAGGAGATATACACATAAATACCCAGCACTTGATAAATGTTATTATCAATATTATTATTTTTGTTGACTATCAAGGAGTTCTAAGACTTGGCGATATGAATTCATGAATAATGTTAAAAGACTCGGCATCTCAGATCCAGATAACCTGGTTTTCAAGTAGATTTCCTCTGAGAAAAGGGAATTTCTTTCCCTCCTAAAGTTATCTCAGTTTCAGAAGAATTCTGTAGTCCCTGCCTTTTGTTGCTTTAATTCTCCTTTTGTTTTTAATTAAAACAACAGCAACAACAAAAGTTTCTTACTTTTCAAAGGTTAGAGGCCACTGATTCTTTTTTTCTGGAGGCTTGTATATGGACCTGCAAATCTGTAATTAATGGACAAAACTTGGTTTATTAAAAAAATCAATAGGACATTCTGCAGTCAATCTAAAGGGAAATGCTTATTGACTAGTAGATGTTTCTCCTGTATGGTTATTTCTACTTTTTGGTCTTTCTTAATTTATTAACGGTCATCATTATAATCATAATTATTAAACTACCTATGAATTACTCAGCACCTACAGAGGCCAGGGGCTGTGCTGAATGCTTTCTGTATGTGTCACCTCGTTGCAGGCCTTTGAGGGCGGGGATCAGCATCTCCTTTTTGCAGGTGAGGGGTTGAGGTTTGAAGAGATGAGGTAACTTGCCCAGATGACGCAGCTGGCTGGTGGCAGACTCGGGACTGGACCCCAGGTGGGTTCCTGCACAGTGGGCTTCCTTACCTGCTCCTCTCAGCAGCCCCCCATTGACCGGTGGCCTGGACTTCTGTGAGTTCACACAGGACAGATTTTAGTGGTCTCAGCCTGACGAGGCCTTGCAAGGAGAAGATCAGTGAGAGTGAGAGACAGAATGGCATAGATTAAAATTGTACATGTATTTTTTCATAAATGTTCTATCCTCCGCTAATGACCTAAAATGTCAATATTTTTCATTTGAACTCTGTAAGCACTAAAAACAAAACATTAAAAGTGATTACAGTGCAAAAGAGAAGTGGGTTTTGAGACTCCAGCCATTGCTAATGACTTATTGCTTGTTTGTTTTCTAGGGATGCTTGTTGAGGGAAAAAGTTAAAGACTGAATTGGTTTTGTGTGCTCTTTAGTGTGAGAAAGATTAAGTGAGTGACAGGAAGTAAAAACCTATACTGTTTTCTTTCCTGATGGTGACTATTTAAGTTTTAGGGGACTTGTCAACTTTGTTTTTAATGGCTGAAGACTATTTCCTCATGCGTGAAGTTAGAATGATGTTATGTACCCTGTGTGGTTCTGAGAGTTAGATATGATGTATACAAAGCACCTAAGAGGTTTGCAGTAAAAGTTTGCTGTCACAGTGAGTTAGAGTGTGAGTTGGATCACAGTTAGATTGTTTAGAAGCATCAGCTTCGAATACTGAAGAAGGTGTTTATTTCTAATACACATATGTGTGTGATATATAAGATGATGATCTACAATGGTCAGGGGTCAGTTTCAGGTTTTTTTTAGTGCAGTATGAAGGGTCGATGAAATCAGTGTCGTTCGAGTAAGGTAGGGACTATCTAACTTGTCTTAAGCGGAAGAGCTGAAAGATTATTTGTACAGAAGGTACAACTCAGAATTCATATGGCCATGTAATCACCCGCTAAAACCTTAAATGACCATATGGAATTTGACCATAGCCAGTAAGTGTAGAAACATTGATATTGAGGTGTTTTCAGGGAATAAGCTTTTCTCCTTTGTGATTGAAGGAAATTTTGATTTTTTTTTTCTGTACCCTTAATAGGTTAAAAAATCAAACTGTTGGCTTGACACCTGCCACTTTTCCTTTATAGAAGGAACAAAAGGCAAGCGCGTGCTGGTTTACTATGTAACTCAGCGTTTTGTATTTCCACAGAACTGTATGATTTATGGTCACCAGCCCTGTGGGACGTCTTTTGCAGGGCACTGAGACTACCTACTGTGGGAAAAATGCAGACGTGATTTTTATGGGTAGGGTTAGTGCAGACCTGTTGGTTTCGGAGTCGAGCAGGAACCAGGGCCAGGAGTAAGCTTTGCCACCGAGGCTGGAAGGACAGATTCCAGTGCCTCAGTCTCCCTCATTCATTAAACAAAGGCTGGCCTGGAGGCCAAGATCCCTTGCTGCCCTAAGCTTAGTTCCCAAGAGCCCACAATCTTTTGTTTATATCCAGGAGCGTTAAAGATTTCAGATTAAGTACTGAGTAACACTCTCTCTCCCGAAGCAGAATTCAGCATGTACTAGCTAAGCTTTTAGTTCTGGTCCCTGAGCATCCTAGTTTTATAAAACCTTACTGATAGCTTCTTACTGTGCAGGCAATTTTTTCGTTCCATCTTTTCCAGCAGCTTGGAGATTCTTTTTTTGGGCCATAGGTGGCGCTGTTGCACCTTTGAAAAGCCTTAATCTCCGTATTTGTAAAAGAAGACTTAACAACACGTTCCTTTAATTTGATTTCTGTGTTTAAGGCTTCAGAGTAGCTCACTGGCTGGATAATGGAAAAATGATTCTAGTTATACCTTATTTTTACTCTGTCATCTCAGCGTGAAAATTTCAGACCTGCTGTGTGAACAGTGGCAAAATTAGGCTTTTCTTCCAATATTAGAAACCAGTCAGCCAGGATTTTATAGAAATGATAGAAACCGTCCCTGGAGCACCTTGAAGATGAAAACCACACTGAACCCCCTGAGTACTGAGCCCGCAGCTGTGTGTTAATTGGTGGCAGGTGATTTGGTATCATGGCAGCAGCCTAGTGCATTCACCTGGGTTTGAATGCGCACGGCACCGCTTAGCCACGCGAGCTGGAGGCAGCTCTTCCCGACTCTTTTCCTCGCCTGCAAATGGGGATGCCAGTACCTGCTTTGCAGGATGGTGACATTTAGAGAGAAATTACGGAAAGTGTTTAGCCCAGGGGTTATCTCATAAAAGATCTCATAAACTTTAGCTATTACTTTGCATAGAGCCATCATTTTATAGTCTTTGGCAATTACTAAGGAATTACAATAGGAAAAGATGGGTTTAATGAAGGCAGATCCAGTTCAGAGCTGAGCGAACTATTTAAGGAGGGTCAGTCGTTAATATGCTCATCATTTAGCAGCAGCATCAGAGACACGGCCATGACACAGTGACCCTGAACCTACCTGAAGCCACAGAATTATTTACTATATGTTGGGGTTCCAGGGGACCCAGTAATTACACTCCTGTTTTCTCCACCATCCAATTGCTAGATGGGACGAAAGAGCATGCAGGTGGAGATGGGTTCCACCTTTATTACTGATAACGCTGCTTTATCCATGAACTTTAGGGACACAGGAAGATGGGTATCATACTGTTACCCGGAACTAGACACACTCTCCCAGCGCCAGGCAGGACGCCTTCCGATGAGAGGACTGTCCCTGTCATACTCGGCGTGGCGGAGCCCGGCGTCCTGGGTGCTTTCTGAGGGTGGCCAGCACCCAAGGGGAAAGGGCTGCACATGGCTGGTCTGTCTCTCATAACTCACTCTGCTTATGTGGTGGGTGAGGGGCCAGGAGTTTGAGGGAAAACCTTCTTCGTGGAAACCGAGGACGGGGGAGGAGTGTCCCTCTGCCCCCATTTAAAAGGTCGTGGGGTAGAACTGGAACAAAAGGATGCTCACCAACAATTTGTAACTAGGGAACTAAGGATATCCTTTGGGACGTAGAGTAGCAAGGAAATACGAAAGATGATTAAAGTGGATGTTTGTAAAATCACCTTAATAGTTCACGTTTGGGTTGAGCACTTAAAATGTGCCACACACTTTTCTGAGCATTTTACGTAAACTAATGTAATCCTGTAATTCTCACAACAACCTGGTGAGGCAGGTTCGATCATTATCCCAGTTTCCCACATGTGGAAACTGAGGCCCGGAGTGGGTAAGTAACTCCACTAAGGCCACACACAGAGCTAGTAAGTGACAGAGCTGGGATTGGAACCCTGGCCGCCAATGGGGAGGAAATGTGTTGGTTATTGAACGCAGCTATTTTGGTCTGATTGGCCGTATTTTATCTCCTATTACACGGATAAGTCAAACCTCCAGGTTTCTTACATCAGTCTCTTAGGAGTTTGGTTAGTGTAAAGTCAGCCCATTGGAGGCTGAGGATGCTGATAGTCGAGTTTCTGAGCACACGGAGGTACTTCTGCCCGTGGAGACGTGGCTGGAGGATGCCCCTTCTCTCACTGTGTCACTTCCTCCAGCACGAATTATATTCCTGCGCCACCCACATACCATTCTGAGTGGACCAGATAATCAGATAGCAAAGTCCCCATGTCACTCTCACTGATGAGAAAGTGGGCTGAATTGAAGTGAAGTGAATTGAATAAAAGAAGAGGGCTTCCAGGAGCCCAGTTAGATGTTAAAGTCCACTTGGCCAAAAACTGTCCATTTTTTTTGTGGTTGAACTTTTTCTTTTTGAAAACATTTTCTGGGCCATGTGGCTTACAGATCACACTGGATTCAATGAAGGAAATTTAAAATGCCTTACAGGGTTGTTTCAGGTGGTACATTGACCCTAGTGAGGGTTGATAGCCGACTGGGAGGCACGAGAGAGATTTTTACAAATGGAATAAAATAACCACGCGCTCTGCCATCTGAGTGCGCTGAGTACAGTGCCTATAGCGTTCACCTGAGAGGTCAAATAATTGGTGATCGTGATAATGACTCAAAAAGTTTCTATCACAATCCCTATTTAAAGGATATGGCACAATAATATAATTTAACCAGGTTTTTCACCAAACAAAAGGCTTTTAGGCTTATCCTGAAATCCAGCGTTCCCCAAATTTCCACGCAGCTGACTGTGTCCTCATGCAGATCTGTCAACTCATGTCGTGGGCATGGCGTCATGGGGAGGTGCCAGTGGGCCGTCCTGGCTCCCCTGAGCTTCCGCCTCGTCGTCTGCAGCGCGGGGTTAATCGTCCCCTCTACTCTGCCGTGTTGCTCTGAGAACCCGCACGATGGTCAAGCATTTTTGTGCATAGAAAGCACCTGTTTTCGTTATAACCGTGGCTTCTAGATTGCAGTGCTTTGCCGTCTGCATTTAAAAACAGAGGTTGCAACACACCAAACAGCTCTTAAATAGAACCGTGATGGTGGGCCTCTTCTCTGTATAGACACTCGAAAAAAGACGCGGTTTCAGGAGGACTGTCTGTTACTGGGACACACCTTTTTGAGTGTTGGAAACGCCCTTACAGATGACCAGAGCTGACCAGAAGCCTGAGCCCTGGAACCAGGGCCTCTCCTGGCGTGTTCTGCCGGCACGGGAAGTTACATCTGCAGGGGAGGCGCATCGGATCTCACTGACATCTGGAGAGTGTAGTGGACGATTAAGACTTTCAGAAGCTTCCTATAATAATGAAGCCACCTGTTTTGTATTTTAAACTAACTACAAAGTTACCTTTTGAAAGCTGGAAATCCTTAGCTTGTGAAGTGTCCAGTAGTTGTGTGTGTGTGTGTGTGTGACTTTAGGGGGCTTGTGATAAGTTACATACAGCCTTCTCCCCCCCCTCCCCATTCCAAGGTGTGGGCATATATTTGCACAAAAAAATGACTATTCCTTTGTCCTTTGGCTTATTTGTGGAAGTAAGAAATTCTCATATGTGTTTGTGTTTGAGGAGAGCTGGGGAACATGCGCTTAGCAAGTGGGGAGGGAAAGAGGGGAGGAGGCACTTGACACATTTGTGTGGGATGCGAGTGATAGTAGCTTTTCCTTTTTCCCTTCCAAAGCAAAAAGGCACTGAGCTTGTAACATATGGTTATTCGGAATGACTTTCCTGGTCAGATGGAAGGGTCTCAGGTTTTTCAAGGCTGTGTGAATTGTGAAAGATGATTTACTCATTACCTTTAAAAGTAGTTTTGTTTTCCAAATAAAAGACCACACTTTCTTCTTTCTTCCAGGGGCACAGGAAGTTCTCATTGATCCAGGTACATGATCTATGTGCTCAGTTTCTTTTGGTTGTTTCTTTTAAGTGCTTGTTTCATGGTGGTGTGAATGAATGGGTACAATTTCTGAATTGTGATCTTTGGAACATTCTGATTTAAGTCACTTTAAATCAGAACTGTTAACAACCTGATTCTGGCTTGGTCCTTGTTTGGTGGGGCATTGATTGATTTATGTTGTCTGTCAAAGAGGAGACTTCTTCCTCTAGCATGGCTAAGTGAATGATCTGTGAAGTGTGCCTTTCAAATTCTCTGACTGCATTGAGCATGCTTGTCCAGTTAATTCTGAATTTATTCACAGCAGTGGCTTCGCTCTGATTCTATGGTTTGTGCTCCTCTTAACATGAACTTGAATTTCCTATTGCATTCTGTGTGTGTTTTCTTAGCAGGGAAATAAATTTTGCATTTTTTTGGTTGTTTTTTTTACAGAGGAGGGTTTTCCTTTCCCCTCTTAACGCCTTCTGTCATTAACACAGCAAAAACCCCTTTTATCGCAGTGCCTAATTATTTTATAATGAGTCTGTTATTTTGGGCTTTACCAGAAATAATGACAAAGGGCAAATGATAAAAAACGGTGCAACTTCCTTCCTTCGCAGAGGTGGGACTCGCACGGCCGTGCCTGCATATGCTTTGCGACCAACACACTGACTCCATCTCACTGTATATCTTGATTTTGAAATGAAATCACTTCAGGTTTGCAGATTTTTTTTTTTTTAACATCGTGTTGAATCCTTTCCCTTAGGCTGATGTTTCGTGATCATTTCTCGGTAGGGTTTGCGGAACGTGCAGAGGAAGAAAAACAAGTGCTTTGTTTTGCTTTCAGGAGACCTGAGTTGCTGATGAGCAAAAAGTTTGAGGGTGGGCTGAGGAGCTCAGTGACCCCACCCCTCCGCCCCCATGGAAATTGATGAACAGTGAAATCGATATTGGATGTATTGGCATTTGATCAATAGACACTGTTGAGCCCATCTGGCTAGTTACACCTGATGGAAAGGACTGCGTTTCAGTGTTTTCACCACTTTACCTGCTGGAGAATTAGATGCTTCTACCAAGTACAAGGAGCTTAGAGCTATCAGAAAAACCAGTCATTGTTGAAATAAAAAACATATATATTTTTATTTCTGAAACTTTTCAAAGTAAGGTTTTGTAGAGATGATACTGGGTGGAGGTTGCTGGGAGGAAAAGTGAGGGTGGTTCTGTGGGCTTGGCTGCTTGGGGACGAGCCAGGCTCCTGCCACAGGTGGAAGAGGGAAGGAAAGGAGGCAGAAACCAGCGTGTGGCATCTGAGGGCATCGTCTGTAACGGTCCTGAATGAGAAGAAGGTGGACTTGACCTCTGCTTAGCCGAGGGAGAGCAAGCGCAGGGAGCTGAGCGCCTGCGGTCCCCAGTTCTTGTGGCGTTTGGACCAGGATGGCCGCGGCCATTCCTTCACTTACTGGGACCTTACCTTTCCCCAGCATCAGTCTCCTCTGCTCAACCCTGGCAAGTGTGTTGGCGGTAGATGTGTCACAGGGGTCGCTTCACAGACCCCAGCCACGACGTGACACGGTCCTCTTCAGCCTCTAAGTCTGAGCAGCGGACTTTCCCTCGGGTTAGAAAGTCGTCCTGCTCCATAGAAAACCCATCTATGTGAGGCTCTCACCAATCGCATCACTTTGATTTCGGTTTTGAATTTTAAGTGGATATACTATTCGAGGCAAACTGTTTCAGATTTTTTGCTGCCTGCTTTTCCACAGCCACGTCCAAGGCCAGAAGGAGGAGAATCGGACCGTCTTTGGCGCTGGCTCCCGGGCTGGCTTTCAGAACCAGGCTCCTCTTCGAGCAGCTCGGCTGCGGAGCCCTAGACCTGCATTTAGACATGCTTCGTGATGTCAAACTGTTTTCTTGTCCTTTCGGAACATTGTGTGTACGTTCGACAGCTGCTTCAAGTGAAACCATCTTTTGGCCAACTTCAGTCAACTCGAATTGGCTTATCTGTTTTCCCATTGAGGGCAGTTTTTCTCCCCTGAAATAAAAAGTAGCAATTTGCATTTGCTGTGTGAAGGCACTGCTGTAGGGTGCCTTTTTTTTTTAAAGCAGCTTTAATGCAGTTGACCCATTTAAAGTTGTACAGTTCAGTTTTTACTCTGTTCTGAGTTGTGCATTTTCATTACCTTGACAAGGAGCCCGTACCCATTAGCGGTCTCCCCCGTTTCCCCATCCTGCCCCCCGCCCCAGGCAGCCACTCACCCGTCTCCATGGGTTCGCCTGTTCTGGACATTCTATGTAAATGGAGTCATGCAGCATGTGGCCTGTCGTGTCTGGCTTCTTTCACTCAGCATCGTGTTTTCAAGGTTCGTCTACGTTGCAGCATGAAGTGGTACTTCACGCCTTTTTCCCCCCCAAGTAATATTCCACTGCATGGACAGACCACATTTTGTTCACCCATTCATCGGTTGTTGGATGTTTGGGTTGTTTCTGCTTTTCTGGCTAATATGTGCAATGATGCTGTGGACATCCCTGTACACGCTTTTGTGTGGCTGTGTGCGTCCAGGTCTCTTACGTGTATGCCTAGGAAGTGGAATTGCTCGGTCATGTGGTAGCTCAATGTTGAACTTTTTGAGGAACGACCGGATAGTTTTCCAGAGAGGCTGCACTGCGTCACCCTCCCACCAGCAGTGTGAGGGTTCCGGGTTCCCACGCCCTCACCCACACTTGGGGTCGTCTCTGATGACGGCCGTCCTAGTGAGTTTGAAGTGGTGTCTCATTGTATAATAGTTTTGTTTTCCATTTCTCTTACAGCTAATGATATCGAGTATCTTTTCATTGTGCATATTGGCCATTTGTGGATTTTCTCTTGAAGAACGTCTACTTAGATCTTTTTATTCAGTTTTAAATTGAGTTGTACGAGCTTTTTTTGTTTTGTTTTGTTTTCTATATTCTAGATGCAAGTCCCTTGTCAGATATGTGATTTGCAGAACTTTTCTCCTACTTTGTGTCATTTCACTTTCTTGATGGCGTGCTTTGAAGTGTAGAAGTTTTACATTTTGATGAAGTCTAGCCTGTCTATGTTTTCTTTGTTGCTTGTGCTTTTGGTGTCATACCTGAGCTCAAGGTGTTGTATATCAACTTTACATGTAAAGCACCTTAATCCTTACAGCAATTCCAGGAGCTGGGTCCCAATGTTATCCCTAGTCTGTACAGGAGGAAACTCAGCCAGTCCACAGATTGAAGAACTGAGATGCAGAAGAATTCGTTGACTTGCCCAAGGTCACAACTGGCAAGTGGTGTTGTCGGAATTTGGACCCACAATTTTGTCTCCAGCACCTAGCCTCTTCACCACCAGTCTCTAGTTCTGTCTATAGGAACTCTCTGTTAAAAACCTTCTGCCTATTTGATTTCTTACTGGCTTTTGTTCTCACTGGGGACCTCATGACCTTGCAGAGCTCAGTGTAGGTTTATTTAAGTCTCGTGTAGGTGGAAGCATCGCCCTTAGTTTCGGCACCACCCTCCTGGATGATGGTTGCCAATTGCTCTGACAAAGCCATACCTAAACCTCTTCTGGCCATTACACTAAAAGGAGAGTCGTGGCTACAGAATGTTAAAAGCAAGGATTTGATTGATTTCACTTCGCCAGGCAATGAGCTAAACCCCGCGTGTTGACACAGATGGTCAGCCTTCCAGAGTCGGGTCATTGTCATCCTTATATCCCGTGTTGTTTGCTGGTGGTGTCAGATAATGCCTCACTGCCCAGCAGAACAGAGCACGTGCTTGTGGATCCTTGTCTGCAGTGCGAGACTTGGACAGCAGCATCTGTCATTTGTTTCTTCTAGGCCTTCGCGACTACTAGGCCTTTGTTCTCCATATACTTGAAGTTAACTGTCAGATATGAGTTTCCCTTCGTTTCTTGGTTTTCCTTATTCAATTAGAATTTTTGAGAATGAATTTGTTTTAATATGTTGTATAAGTTTCCCTAGAAACTTGATGAGTTTGTACTTTTAAGTTTTCAATTTGTGAAAAACTTACATGCACTTTTATTTATAAGTAGTTTATTTTCACTAGGTATTTGTCGCTTTATAATTAAAACTTTTTATTTTCAACAAGTGAGTAGGTATGCATGTTTTAAAAGACACCTTATTTTTTTCTTAGTGTAAAAGTCATGTTCATTGGAGAGAATTTAGAAAAGTAAACAAACAAAAAATTACATATAATCGTTTCACCTAGTGATAAATTGTAGTTAAGTTTTTAAATTGGGAAGTGTAAGTCCTTCAACTTTGTTCTTTTTCAAGATTATTTTGGTTGTTCTGAGTCCGTTGAATTTCCATATGAATTTTAGGATCGGCTAGTCAATTTCTGCAAAGAACCCAGCGGGGATTTTGATAGGGATTACTTTGAACCTGTGGACCAGTTTGGGGAGTGTTGCCATTTTAAGAACATGAAGCTTCTGACTCATGAACATGGAGGTTTTTCTTTTTATTTATGTGTTTAGTTTTTTTCCAACAATGTTTTGAGTGTTCAGCGTATCATTTTATATTTTTTGGGGTTAAGTTTATTTCTAAGTATTTTATTCTTTTTGATGTTATTGTGAGTGGAATGGCTTTTTAAATTTCATTTTAAGATTGCTCATTGCAAGTGTATAGAAATACAGTTAACTTTTGTATATTGATCTTATATCCTGCAACCTTGCTGAACTTATTTATATATTAGCTGTACTAGTGTTTTAGTGGATTCCTTAGGGTTTTCTGTATGCAAGAACATGTCACCTGAAAAAGACAGTTTTACTTTTTTCTTTGCAATTTGGATGCATTTTATTTAGTTTTCTTGCCCAATTGTCATGGCTGTAATGTCCAGGACCTTGTTGAATAGGTGAGAGAGGGCTTCCTTGCCTTGTTCCTGATCTCAGGGGGAAAGCATTTAGTCTTTGCCACTAAGTATGATGTTACTGTAGATTTTTTGTGGATGCCCTTTATCATATTGAGAACATTCCCTTTTACTCCTAGTTTATTGAGTGTTTTTATCATGAAAGGTTGAATTTTGTCCAATCCTTTTTCTGTGTCTATTGAGATGACCATGTGGGTTTTTTGTCCTTTATTCTCCTGAATAGTGTATTACATTAATTGATTTTTGCATTTTAAACCAACCTTACATTCTTGAGATAAATACCACTTGGTCATGTTGTACAGCCCTCTTATATGTTGCTGGGTTTAGGTTGCTAGTATTTTTTTTTTTTTTTAAAGATTTTTATTGGGGTATTGGGGGGAGGGGAACAGTGCAGGGGAATAGGGGGAAGGGGAACAGACAAGTTGCTGTCATTTTGTTCTTCAGTCTAGTTGTGGAGGACGTTGCTTCACTGGCCCAAGTTGGCACCATCATTGCGCTCTTCCCGGGTGAGGTAGATCAGTTGCCGGCTTCTGGACGGCTGCTCACGGCGGCTGCTGGCCGCTCACGCTGGCTGCTGGCTACACACGGTAGCCCATGGCAACCCACTGACACAGGGGCTGCAGCCTATGCCATTGCCGGCGACTCATGGCAGCCCAGCTCCAGGTTGAGCTGTCGTTCAGCATCTTAGCTGTAGAGGGCAGTGTCACTGGCCCTCATATGTGGGATCCGAACCGGGGCCCTCTGGCGTCCCAAACCAGTTCTTAACTATCGCGCCACTCGGCCGGCCCTAGGTTGCTAGTATTTTGTGGAGGATTTTTTTCAATTCTTTTAAATTTGTTGAGATGTATTTTATAATGTAGCTTGTGGTCCATCCTGAAGAATGTTCCATGTCTGCTTGAGAAGAGCATGTCTTCTGCTGTTGCTGGGTGGAGGGAGGCTCTGCAAACGTCTACTAGTTCTACTTGTTTTTCTGGGTCAAGATATTGAGGTTCATTTTGTACTTCCCCTGTCCCAGCTCTGAAATCAGACATTTGTCTAAGGTGTTGTCGTTCACTTTGTTGGGGAATGGTACTTAGAAACCAAAATCTGGGCACTATAATGCTTATTGCCACTGAGGTTCATTGCTTCTAGGCCCTTTGCAAACTTCATGCTGTCACCAGGAGTTCATACCGGCATCTTTAATTCCAGCCCCAAATCCCAGGGTTCTTTGCAGTCTCCCCTTGTTAGATATTTTGATATTTACATCATCTTTCTCAAACAGTGAGAACTCTGGCTCCTAAGATTTTCAATATATTTGCTCATTTTCTCAGTCCTACAATATATAGAAAGTAGTTTCAGAATTCTAATCAATATCATTGTAAAAACAAACCTCTAAGTAGAATTCAAGGATTGCTGTGGTAATTTTTGTCTTTATACTGAGGATAAATATGCAAGGCACTGCAATCAGAACTTATGTGGGTTTGTACCTGTAACCTCATTGTCGGCATAGTTATGTTATTTATTTGAAATATAGTTAATCGCTCAGGTATTTATGCCATTATAGGTTTATTTTTACTGATTGATATGTTTTACTATATAAGATACGAACATGGTTCCAAAAGTCAAAACTATACAAAAAGATCTACTGAGAGAAGTGTCACTTCCTCTCTTTTCTCTCCCACCTCAGCCCTACCTACCATTGTAGGTAATTACTCTTGATCATATACTGTTTGGATGAGATGAGGTACCAAACAAAGGATGAAGACCCCCTTATCCTGACCCCATTATCTTTCCCCTCTTTTCTCCAAAAGACAATAGTAAAATCCAGTAATGTAAATATAAATTGTTAGAGCTAAGGAGATAAATCAAGATGACCTATCATTCATTAAATATTATTTCATGGCAGAAACAAATGTATTATACACGCAGACATGCAAAGCATGATGGTACAGGGGTTAAAAGCAGGCCCTGGTTCGAATCCTACTCTGGAGTAATTAGCTCTGTGAGTTTGAGAACCAGTCGGAAGACAAGCTCTCTCGGATTCGATTTCTCACCTGTAGAAAGGGGGTACACTACAAGTGCCCCCCACATGGAGCTGCTGTGGGTTGTGAATGAGAACGTGTGTGGGAGCCCTTCGCACAGTGCTGACTCCTTGTAAGTGCCAGATAACCGGCCTTGCCGGGACGGCGATGTCACCGGCCTGTGCAAACCCTCAGTGCTCCAAAGGACACCTTGTGGCCCAGAGAAGGAGCCCTCAGTTCTGTAAGTACCCAAGGGCTGTGTCATCGGGCCTTGCTGATTTGAATTCGTTCTTTGAAAAGTTTGCATTTTAGATACCAAGCATGCTTCTTTTATTATTTATAGTTCTGCCCTCTCATCTCTCACTGTGATTTTCACAAAATCTGCAGGAAACAAAACCCTGCCCCTTCACAGTTCCCCGCTATGCTCTTTTATCCCTGACAAGAAGAGGGTTTGGCGTAGGACATTTTCTTCCTTCCCTTTTCTTGGAGTCTCTCTGTCCATCTGCCCATCTCTTACCTGTGTGTCCATTGATCTGTCCACTCATTCTTCTGTCTTGTTCCAAAAAGCCTTGAGGCAGCTAACAGAACACCACCCAAGCAGGTGAGAAGGCTGGACCAAGGTGAGCTAGCAGGGGCAGGGCATGTGCTTGCACAAGTGTGTGGGCCGTGTGAGATGCGTGCCTCTGGCCCGGGACTATAGACTGACGGCCCGCGTGTGGCTGGGCCTCCCAATGGACACGAGGAAGACAGGACCTGGGGAGATAACTGCTGTCCGTGAGAGAAACACGTGCCTTAGGATAAGCTCAGCTTTTCCTGCTGTGAGGCTTAGGAGAATATTTTTTGTGTGTTCTGTGAAATCAGAGTATCTTACCTTCTTTTTTTTCCCGTCCGAGATCTATGGGTAGTTGGTTACATTCTATAAATGGGAATTCCTCCTCAACTCTTCTCCATGTGAGTCTGATGGTTAGGGAATTAGGTGGTTGTGTTTATTGACAGGGATTGGCCAGAAATAGAACATGAGAGCCACAGAAAGGACACTAATATTTACAAGCTACATTTTTTTGTTTTTGTTTTTGTAGTGCTGTACGGTTTGGAAAATACTTTCCTATAGTTAATCTGCATTTGAGGGCACGTTGTGGTCTCCTGCTGGCATTAAGAGCTTCAAGTGTGAGATAATGCATGCTGGGCACATTGTCCTCAGGGCAGCTAGGCTGGTTATTGTAGACATGTTACTTTTATATAACACATTTCATGTTCTTTCATAAAAAGTTTCAACAGGGAGGAAAACTTATCGTGAGTTAATGAACATTTAATACAAGGCTTTGATGGTGAGACTCTAACAGGGAGTATATGCTCTGTGAAGACTTTAATGATCATTCTTTAAATTTCAGTAGGGAATATTTAAGTTTTATCCTTTTGTGCCCTCTTTTAAAATTAACAAAGAAACAAGACAAAAAAAAAAAAAAGCAAAAGATGATTCTTTTCTTCCTGTCGGTTCACAGGTGCCCTGACCACCAACGGCATAAATCCTGACACCAGCGCTGAAATTGGACGTGCCAAGAACTGTCTTAGCCCTGAAGACATCATCGACAAGTATAAGGAAGCCATCTCCTATTACAGCAAGGTGACCCCTCCGCTTTGTAGCCTTGTGTTGTTTTCATCAGAAGCTCCTATTTTATACTGTGCAGTGCTGCAGTATCTCCTGATTATCTCTCTCTAAGGATTCAGGTGTGACTCCCAAATGCTTAGTACCACATACCGAAACACTTTTTTTCTGATTCAAAATAATGTCTATTTACTGATTGGAAAAAGGGGGAAACGGTAATCACAGCCCCACTACTCAGAGCTAATCATTGTTGCCACTTTAATATCTATTTTCTGCTCTTCTTTGTCAATGCATGTTATCTACATCATAAAGAATGGCGAGCAGTCTGTTTATTTACTGTGGAGAGCTACACTTTTTATTTGGCATATTTTATGTTTTTCTATGTTAGTACATCTTCCATGGCTTGGCGTTTAATGACCTTTATAGCATTCCATCTTGTGATGCATCATTCTTTCTACTTTGGACTTAAAAAAAAATTTAATTCAAAATATACTTACTGAAATACTGAAAAAAAAGAACTGAAGTAGCACAGAAGAGTGGTAGCACGGAAAAAATGAAAGCGCCTCCCTCCCCTCCCCTTATTTCTTGAGAGTAACAACTATTAAAATTTTAGTATGTATCTTTCATGACCTTTTTGCCTGTGAAATATATTCATATGAAATATACAAACAGGAAATATATGTATACATGTGTATGTATATCCGTTTTATTTACAAAAAGGTGGTCATACTATGATTGTTATTCTGCATCTTGTTTGAGGCGTGCAGGGATGTATCCTACATGTCCTGTACTTCAGGTCTGTCTGACTTTTCCCAATAGTGTGGGAAAGTCTTATAAGATGGGGATGCAGTCAGTTGTTCCATGACACCTTTTGTGAGAGTGTCGTGAACTAGAGAGAGGCGTGCTTAGCACCTAGGACAAGACGGAGCCTGCACTGCAGACCTCACAGCTTGCCTTAGTTTCCTTCATAATTATCTTGTTGATGGATACGTACGTTTCTCACTTTTCCATTCTTCGAAGAAATGCTTGACTGGGCATTCTTATACAGGCATTCTTGTGTTCTTACGTGTTCCTTTAGGTAAGATTTCTGGAAATTTGATCTCTGGGTTTGACACTTAAATTTATTACAGGTTACTGTCAAGTTACTCTCCAATTTCCTTCTAAATAGGGCATGAAAAGATTCAGAATTGTTTATTTAACCAATCCTCGATTACTGAATATTATTTCTTTTCTTTTTAAAGATTTATTGGGGAATTGGGGGAGGGGAACAGCGCTGGGGAATCAGGGGAAGGGGAACAGACAAGTTGCTGTCCTTTTGTTCTTCAGTCTAGTTGTGGAGGATGTTACTTCACTGGCCCATGTTGGTATTATCATTGCGCTCTTCCCAGGTGAGGCAGATTGGTTGTCGGCCACTGGACGGCCGCTCACTGCGGCTCTTAGCAGCTCATGCTGGCTGCCAGCCGTTCACGGCTGGCTGCCAGTCCCTCACAGTAGCTTATGGCAGCCCACTGCAGCCCCAGTGAAGCCTACGCTGTTGCTGGCGACTCACGGCAGCCCAGTTCCAGGTCGAGCTGTTGTTCACCATCTTAGCTGTAGAGGGCGCAGCATCACTGGCCCATATGGGATCCGAACCGGGGTCCTGCTGCTCAGAGCTGGCGTCCCAAGCCAACTCTTAACCAATGCGCCACTTGGCTGGCCCTTTTTTTTAAAGGAAATAATTTCTACAAGTGGACTGCAGTCAAAGAGGATACTTTTTTTTTTTTAATTTACATACACATTGCCATGTTGTCATCCAGAAAGATTGGTAACAGTTCTCCTACAAATAAACACTATTACACCCTTTAGAAATATTTGCCAATGTGATGGGCAAGAGGGACTTTTCATTGTTTAGTTTGCATCTGATTACCAGCGAGGTATTAAACATTTTTCACTTGCTAGCCATTTGCATTTTTTTAATGTATTATCCATTTGTGTCCTTTGTGCACATTTAAATTAGGGTGCTTTTCTTGTTGTTTTGTGATAGCTCTTTGTTTTAAATATCAGTTTCTTCTCCATCATTGATACACGTGTATACTGCAAATCTGTTTCCTAATGTTGGTTGCCATTAATGTTGGCATGAGGCTTTTCTTTTTGGTTGTGGCCAAAGTGTTTTTAATATAGTAAATCTCTCATTTTTGGTGTTATGCTTAGAAATACCTTCTGCACAATAAGAATAAAACTCTTTTTCTTAGTTTTTTATTTCTAAAATGGGGGTGATAATAGTACCTATCTGATAGGGTTACAGCAAGGACAACCTGTGTCAATATATGCTATTGTTAGTATTTTTAAATATTGACATCGTTGTCTATAACTTATCTTGAGTACATTGTGACGTAGGAAATTGATTTATTTTTTCCAGGTGACTATCTAAGAGTCTCACCACAATTTATTGAATTCATCCTTTTTCTCTCTGACTTGAAATCCCACCTGAACTAAATACATGTATGGAGTCTAATGCTGAGCTTTTTATTCCTTTCTGCTAATCTGTCTTTTCTCCAGCACCATGATTTTTGATCCATTGTAGTTTATTAAATATCTAATATGTGTCTTTAAAAAAAAATTCTTTCCTCTCATCCCAAATTTTCTTGTCTAGTAGTATGACTTTATTATTCCTGAAGAACTCTAAAATATATTGTGCACATTTAAAAAATCAGATTGGAATAAGTTTTGGGGCTTGCAATAAGACTTAATTATTTTTAGGAGTGCTTATATTTATAAGACTTGCTTTTCCCTACAGAATATATTAATGTCTGCATATTTACATACCTAAGTCCCTCAGTACAGTATTGCAGTTTTCTTTATATAGAACATGAGCATTGCTTTAAGCTTATTCCTAGTTATTGTATATGTTTTTGTTGATTTTGAGTGGGGTTGTCCCATTATGGTTATTAACTACTTAAAAATGACATGTAGAAAGGCAGATTGATTTTTAAATATTCATTTTATAACTTTCCATCCTCCACCAAAGGAGCCTGAGACTTTCCCACGCTACCCTGACACTGGATTAAAATTACTTTGAGGGTTGACCCATCACTGTGAGATGACAGTGATAAAAGAATATTTATACACTTCCGAGATTTGACTGTATTCAATTTGTACACACACACGCCAGGCGACCTTCCACTTTCTGAGGGACAGGCACAGCCTCTCAGCTTTCCGTCCCTGGGAGTGACAGGTCTCTTAAGCAGACTCTTGCCTGGCTTCACGAATGCCTTTTTGTTGGGTAGTCAGACGAAGTTCACAGAGCCTTGTCTATTCCTGTGTCTTCATCTGCCCTTCATCCCAGGATCTGAGAGGCAGGAACGAGTTACTGTGAGAGAGCAAATCAGAGAGACATGAAACATTTAAGTAGAGGACGGATACAATGACGCAAGGCGCTAGAATTTTTGCAACAAAGTAAACTGCTTTTACCATTACTGCCTCCCAGCTGCAGGCGTGACTTTAAAAGTGTTTTTAGAGTACCAGAGACAAGAAGTGGAAATGAGTAGCAAAGTATCCCCTGGTAATATTTTGAAATTTTGTGACTTATCCTGTTGTAACTATTGCGGTTGAGTTAGTTGAAGGAACGTACGTCGCTCGGTTCCCTCCATCCCAGCCACCTCTATCCCCCGTAGGGGATAGGCTTGCTCAAATAGACTTGCCCGCTTGGGTGGGCGCTGCTCTCAGGTCCTGGCACTGGTGTCCTCGGGCTGGTGGCTCGCGGGACCCATCCTCACCCTTCTTCCCCCTCTGTCCCTGCAGTACAAGAACGCGGGCGTGATCGAGCTGGAAGCGTGCGTCAAAGCCGTGCGCGTGCTCGCCGTCCAGAGGCGGAGCATGGAGGCCTCCGAGTTTCTCCAGAACGCCGTGTACATTAACCTTCGGCAGGTGGGTGTGTGTCCTGCCGCCAGTGGGGGAGCGAGTGCCGCTCTGTAACTTAGTCACCCTAATCCGCGCGTTTTGCTGTGTGGGATTCAGTGTGGCGTGCTAGGCCCTCTGGAGTCGGAGTGGGCCGTCCTAATGTATGTGGCTGTCCTAATTAATATATGTGGAACTGGCTGTTGTTATAATCAGGTGGGAGGACTTGAGTGACAGTGGAGGATGGGTTATGCTTTTAAAAGGGACATTCAAAGGGACCAGCAGGCAGGCTGGCTGGGGCCTGGGTGTGGGGAGGACTTGCTTGTCCCCAAGGACCGGAGTTACCTTTGCAAATTAATGTTGATAATTTGGGCTGACTGCGAAGCTGTTTTCATAGGTGGGTATATAAATACACATACTTTCTAAAATAAGATGTTTTTACTTTAAAATGTGTGGGCGTTTGCTGCCCGTGGAAAGGGCCCTCCTGCGGTTTGCTCGGTCTTCACGTTGATCGCTAGGGGGCAGCAGACATCCGCCGGAGGGTCAGCATCGCGCTTCCCTGCTGTGGCTGTGGGTGCGGGTGGACGTGGCCGCCCCGCCTTTCGAGTTGTCCCCAACACCACGCTTTGCTTTAGATGACTCATCTGCACACTTGCTTGCCAGATGAGCAGGCAGCAAAATAATGAGTTCTGGTGGGATTTTATAATAACAATAAGAACGAGGGGCCTGTCGTTTTTCTGAAATAGCACAAGCTTTTGGTTCTTCATCCAGTGTGTTCCTTTGTACAATTGATGGGTTGCGTCTATTCCTGGGAATGATTTTGGCTGATGCGTAAATTTTTGAAAGGAACTGAGATGTGATTATTGCAAGGACCTTTTGCTTTAAGAAGCCCTGTGCAAACATAAAACCTGATGAATAATATGTTTGGATTTACTGGTATTGGAAAGGGTTTCTGCACATTTCAGAAGCATTCAAGGCAGAATTCCTCTTCTTCGTGTGCAGGAACATGAGTTGATTCGTCTTTTCTTTTGTGTTTATGAGAGTAGTTTATGGTCATTATCTAGCATTAATGAATGGCAGCACACGTTTTATTTTAACTGGCTGTCTATGAGTTTGTGTATCGGATATGTAGATTTCACAGGCGAAGGGCGAGGTAGACGTGAGCGAGAAGCACAAACTTTGGCCCCTAGATTTAAGTTTCAGTCATCGTTTCCTCACTGGGTGACCAGGGACCAGCCAGCGTGTAACGTCTCTTGGCCTGTTGGCCTGTTGACTCTGTAAAATGGGAACAGTCACTTCTTCCTGGAGTTGTTATGAGGTGTACATGATGTGGCAATGCATAGAAAGTGCTTACCGCAGTGCTGTCCACAGGCAGCGCACGTCTGCGAGGACCCACTAACGGACCCATCACTGGGCTGGGTGTGTCCTCTAGTCCTTAGGACCCTGAGCCAAGTGCATTAACCCTGTTTACAGAGGAGGAGCCTCATGCTAAGGAACGGTGATGGAATTTGTGCAAAGTCAGAGCGCGGTGCCAGAGGTGAAGGGACCTGTGGGAAGCACGCTGGTTCGGGGGTCCCTTCACTCCACGTTCCCTACTGGGGTCCAGGCGCTGGGCTCTGGGTCCATGTCCACTGGCTCTGGGACATTCCTTGGGCGACAAACCAGACATGGTCCTGTGCTGCCTGAACGTCAGGTCTGGAGGGGAAGCAGGTGCTCAGTGGACCTAACAGTGGATGTAACAGCGAGCGCTTACACACTGTGGGCAGTTCTGTAAAGCGAGAGGACGGCCTTGCCTGTGGAGCTGAGGAGTTTCCAGCTGGGGCCGGCCTAGCAGCAAGTTCCGTTACCCCATGAGGAAGACAAGAAAGTATCTCTAATCAGGCAAACGGAAGCTCACTGCTAATACTTAACAGTTAATGAAGCGGCTGTTGAGGCATTTTCGGGAGCCGTTCTGGCTGTCTAATTTGGGGTTAACACACCTGACTTCAAAGGCGTTTGCTAACAGTGCTATCGCCCGTTTCTTGAACACTCATGGGGAATTTTAGGCCCGTGCTAACTGTACACTTTGTTTCATTGAGCCTTCCCAACAGTCACAGTTACAGTTATTATCCCCGGTAAGAAGATAAGGGCCACAGCCAGTACTGTGCAGACCTGGGACTGGAACCCTGTCTTCACTGTCCTTCCAGGTAGCCAGCAGACCTTCCTGTGTCCTGAGTTTCCTACTATCACTACTTGCTTTCTTTTTAGTAGAGTAAACTTACTTTCAAGTCAGAGATGGAGTGCCAAATTAACATTTGCATCCCCCCAGAGGGTCCAGTGGAGAGCTGGTCTGGAATAGCTTTGAGTCATTTCCGCTGGGGCTTCCTGTAGCTGTGTGACCTTGCACTCTATTGAACAGTTAGAGCCAAGATGTGCTGATCAATACTCCCTAGAGAGCAGCGGGTCAGAGAGGAGTTTGGGGGATTCGGTTTCATTTCAAAATGTCATGAGGATCTTGGCCTAAAATTATGCCTGGGTCCCCTTCATGTCCCCAGATTCCTGTGCTGTGGATGGGTGACCCTGCCGCCCTGACAGGGCTTCACCCTGTGGCTCACAGGGTCCCTAGCGACCAGACTTTTTACTCAAGTGCCCAAGCCATTCCCCATTAAGAACCTTTTTTAGGGCTTGAAGTGACTGCAATTCTACTTATAATAAATGTAGTGTTTATCACCTGGTATCTCAGTACATTCATGTGATAGAGAAAATGAAAGAGGGTATCACTCGTCAGAGCATCACGACCTTTCCTCTTTAATTGGGCCCATGAAAGAGCCAGTGGGGACTCTGATGGACTGGAGCCCACCTCTTGTGCCCTTGCCCTGTGGCTGTCACCTTTATTTTAGACGGTGGCCTCTTGAGAGCACTAGCATGAGCACTATTTGTTTACTCTCCCCCAGTGTCTTTTATCATATTCGGCTCTTGGGTGCAGGGAGCTTCCAGGTGTGTGAGAAGGCATTAAGCCCTCCTGCCGCTCCTGCATAGGTCTCCTGGGCCCTCTGCCCACGGCAGGCGTCTCAGGGCACTGCAGCCTCTCTCTAACACTGTACTGCGCGCTCCTGGGAAGCTGGGGCTGTGTCCTTCTCAGGCTTGCATATCCACGGGCCCTAGACCTAAACATAAAGCTTCTAGAAGGAAACAGAGACTATCTATGGGACTTCAGGGAAGGCAAAGGTTTCCTAGACAAGGATGTAGAAGCAGTAACCATAAAAAAAAAAAGATAAATTGAGCTCTTTCACAATTTCTGCTTATCAGAAGACTCCCTTAGGAAAATAAATGGGCAACAGGCTGGGGGAAAATATTTGCAAAGCATATATGACTGAGGACTTACATCCAGGATATATAAAGAACCCTACAACTCAAAATAAGACGAACGATCTAATTTAAAAAACAATCAGAGAATTTGAACCAATACTTCACTAAGGGAGATAGATATACACGTACCCAATAATCATATGAAAAAAATATTCCACACCATCCGTTACCAGGGAAATGCAATTTAAAACCACCAGACTGGCTACAAGGAAAGACGGCACCATCCAGTGTAGGTGAGCGTGTGGGGCAACAGTCATTCTTGTGAGTTGTTGGCCTGAGTGTGAAATGATGCTACCACATTAGGAAAGGTGGGCTCTGCTTACGGATGAGCTTTTCTTTCTTTTTTACCCCCCATTTATTTATTTATTTATGATTAGTTTCAGGTGTA